TTAAACCGGTTTATTTGTGTTGTCTGTCCTTAGCCTTTATGAACAGCAGTGCATATGGCAAGTTGGTACTGCTGCTCTCAACAGGGCAAAGTCTGAAGGCCCCATGTGTTGCAGCTCAAATGATATAGTATTAACAATATTAATAACGAGCCATTCATATTATAGCATCTGTAAAACATGGTGCCATTTATGAAGCAAGCAGCTGTAAATGATGGTCTCTGACTTCTTTTAGGTCTGTATCAGACGGCAAACTGTCGATTCACTTTGAAGCTTTCTGTTATCATTCTTCTGTTGTTTTGAAGCCCCCCTTCACAGGTTGAAAGGTGGCGATTGTTACTGATAATTTCACTCCAGAAATGTAAGTGCTAAGAATATATTATACTAGCTGAAGTTGGGTGATAATTGTAGGGAAATACAAGGTGTTTAAAGGGTTGATATTTAAAAATGATGGCACACCAAAATGTAACTGAGTTAAAAGCAGCGGGTTATTTTCTATGAAAAACTCCCTCTTGTGGAAGTTCTTCCTAGTGATGTATTTTGACCTGTTTTTTAAGTAAGAATCGCTCCACATATGGTGCTGCAACACTTGGAAATGTTCCTTTTACCCCTGTATTATCTGTTCAAACAGTGCTGAAGGTAGAGCTTTGACAGTAACAGCTGCAAAGAAAACAGATTGACTGATATGACATGCAGAAGGTCTGTCTCTTCATCCTCTGCTTCTCTAATGTGCCTTGTCTGTGGGGTCTTTTTTGTGATCTCCCTCGGGCGCTGTTTTTATTATGATTCATGAGTATTTTGTAATCTTTTTCTACAGATGTTATCAGCAGGGAGATTCATCATTTCTCATGTAACCACATGAGTCAGTTTAGGGCGGCTGAACAGTACAAATCCCACTGCCAAGGCAATGAAGGACTCAGATACAGCAGGTAGCAGCTGATGCACAGAGGAGAGAGGTGAGGTTAGGAGTGAAGGGATTTCCTATTTGTTGCTGCCTTGAGAAGAAGAAAGTCATAGGGTCATAATAATAACGAGAGATGGAAAATACCCAGTAGATTGCCTGGAATGAAAGGCTATTGCCATGGGATTTTTGAATATCCATCTATTTGATCAGAAACTGTTTGAAATCAATGTCTCGTGCGGAGATGGACTATAATCTTGGATTTCTGTATGCACCACTGTATTTTTGAAAGGTACTGGACACAAAGCATCAGCACATATGTTGATTTGTCAAAAGAATAAGTTGATTTGGTCTTGCATGTCTGAGAAAGGAGTCAAGCTGTTATTAATCCTCAGCAATCTGTTACAAGAAAAAATTGCAGTCTCTTGTGTTGAAGCTGGATATATGTTAAAACAGGCAGAACCATCAGCTTGGTTCAAATCCACTTAAATCATAGTGAATTTTTAATCTTAAAGCCAGTAAACGGGATCCCTTCACCTGCCTTAACTGAGGCTTTTGCTTGTCTTGCTCCCGAGCTGACAGAGCCTTCTGCTCATACCCATAAATCATGCGCTGAAACCGTGCCACATTGCTGCCCTCTAGCAGTGACTGTAATCATCTCTCTCTAAATAGAGACATAACTAGTTTTAACAGGTTTTCAAGGCCCTAAAGCCTTCTACAAAAAACCTCTGAAAGGAATTTGAGTTGAAATGCAATCTGCAGTTAAGCTGCAAGTATGACAAATAGCCTTGGATGCAGTTACTCGTGGAGCCTAATTGCTGTGGATGTGGAATATTTCTATAATTTATATTCCCATAATGAGAATTTATACATTGGGTTGACAAATCTGAGAAATTCATTAACTGGCTGACATGTATGTTCCTTCAACAAGGTTACCTTTGTCACATCCGTCCTTCTCCTGAGCCACTGAACTTCAATGCTTTTTATCATACATGTTGAAGCATTATTTATGTACCTGTGGCCATCACTATTTCCAGCCCCGAGTGTTTAAAAATTCCCAGTCTGGTGTCCAAAAATCAACAACTTGTCCAAAAATTATAAAGATTTAAATATATTTGGTTGGTGGTTCTTCTAATTTTGCCTTCTGATTTTTGAGCTTTTGAGATCCATATTCTCAAGTGTTCACTTTGCAGCCATGTTGTCTGTGCACTTTTTAATTTTAAATCAAATGCTTGTAAGCATCTGGAATAAATTGGAAGAGTTAGCAACCAGCTAGGCTTTCTCAAGACTTGAGGGGTGAAAATAAGACTTGTTCTCTTTAAATTAGGATCGTAAAGCATTCTCGTTACTTTAAAGTATTAACTATCAAATTGAAAAGCCCATTTTTCAGTGGATGAAACACAGCTGCCTAGCACACATGCATGTACACATGTATATATGTAAAGACATGACACAAATATGATATTTTAGACTGCTTAACCATATTCTGGCTGAAAAAACAAAGATGTTGTGTTCATTCCAGCTATATTCTTGCCCAAGTTTTGGCTATATCCTCAGTTTCTGGCTGTTTTAATTGTTGGAATCACATCCCTTTCTCATGTATCCAGGTTGTAGCCGTATTGGTCTAGAGGAAAAGGTGATCAGTACTTGTAGTAGAGATGATATCTTTTATTAGACCAACAAGATTTTTGCAAAAAAAAGTCTTTAATTGCAAGCTTTCCAATTAAATCCTATGAAATATGAACTTTCATTTCCACCCAGAACTTTTACTATCTTTTCTCCAATAGCTGATGAAGGGTGTTTGTGCCCAAAAGCTTGCAATTAAAGACTTTTTTTTGCAAAAATCTTGTTGGTCTAATAAAAGATATCACCTCTACTATGAGTCCTGAATGCCTATCCCTTTCTCATCTTTCTTTGCCAATATGTGAAGGCTCTTTGTTAAAACGTTTCCCGCTTATGGAACTGAAGTTGCCAAATGTAGGCATTCAGCTGAAGAGCTGATATGATCATCCACACATCCTGGGTGATAATAATCACCATGACTTGATCATTAATTTGTGATAAGTGAGGTATGACAGCACTATTCATACCCATAAGGTTCAACCCTCAACATTTGAAACTGAGCGCTGTATACCCTTGCAATCAAACCTCAATTGAAAGGAGAGGAGTGCAATTTGTGAAGCTGCCACAGTCCTATCACCATGGCCTTGTAGCCCACCGTTTTGAAACCTCGGTCCTAAGTTAATTTTTAGTGTTCTTTTTACCATGATCAGACACTGTCTACAGCTTATTGGGCTCAAAATCAGATCAATCTTCTGTGTTTCGGGTGTGACACCATTGCATACATTTTCCCTTTGGTTTGTTCTTAGGTGTATTCAAATGTTTGAATATTTTTTTCTCCTTGGACTTCTGATTGCTTGAAGAGGTAAGGCTTGTGCTATGTGCACCATCAGTTTTCCTGGGGAGAAAGCTTTCTTGGTTTAACTTTGTAGGGATTCCTAAGAAAAATTTAAATGAAAGGGCCATTCCACTACTTCTGGTTGAAGGCGGAAAACCATGCAGTGTCTGGGTCCAGACGTGCAGCGTGAGCACAAATGCGGCTTCCTTTCCAGCTGGGGGATTCCAGTCCTGTCACCAGACCCGATTATAGCTAAGGGAGGGTTGAAAGGCTGTGATTTTCCATTTGGCTAATGCTTCCTTGCCTGTCCTCTCTGCTTCATTTTGGGCTCAAGCTCTCCTTTTATTTGTCGGCATTCAGGCTTCCTCCATTCGTTCTCTAATTGCACCACGGTTGATGGCGCATGTGGATTTTGCCTGAAAAGTCCCCCAAAGCTGCTCTCTGAGTGTCGCTGGGACTAACAAAACACCACGTTGGGACATCACCTCTGCTTTTTATTTTAATGCGAGTTGAATAATATAATTTTGGCTTATGGTGTTGCAGAAACCTTTAGGGTCCGGTTTCTTATCCTCAGGTTTGTGCACAGTACTCCTGGGCCCTTTTAATCCCTTGGCAACCCGCCACAACCAACCGCTGCCCCTTCACGAGGCTTTTGATGTGCTGCTGTCTTGATCTCGCACAATGCGTCCCCCAGATACCCTTCAACACTACGGGCAGGCTCCTGGACCTGCACAGCGGGTCGCCGATAAGGGCTGCCGTGACATTAGCCTCGGGCAGCCGGTGCCTTTGCTCAATGCACGCCTTCCTCGCGCTCCATCCGCAGTGGGCACAGGGCACGTTTGCATGGTGATCGGCCTGTTGCCACGTCCCACATGGCCTGTTCACGCCTGTCGTCCTCCAGCCAGGTGTGTGCCCCCACCCCCCTACAGACTTGGGGGGCTCCGTGCACCCAGCTGTGCAAGGGAGGGCCAGGAAAGGAGGCGGCCTCATGGCAGGGAGGCTGGGGGAGGACACTGGAGACTGATGCTTGAGGCTGTGGGTGACATTTGAGGCACAGGTGACACTGGAAGCTGGGGAGGTAGCACTGGAGGCTTGGGTGACACTGGAGATGGGTGACATCAGAGGCTGGGAGGTGATGCTGGAGGCTGGGGGGTGCAATACTGGAGACTGGGGGTGACACTGGAGGCTGAGGGGTGACACGGGAGATGGGTAACACTGGAGGCTGGAGGTGAAACTGGAGGCTGAGGAGTTGACTGGAGGCGGCGGCGCAGGCGGTGACGCCGAGGCGGGCCAGCCCCCCTGCCCTCCCCAAGCCAGCCGGCGAAGGCCGCGAGGAGCCCGGCCGCTCCCGCCCCGCCCGCGAAGGCGCCTCAG